TTTTCACTTACACTCTTTAGTCACTTGAGGCGATTATGTCTTATTGTTGCAACACTCTTTATACCTAATTTCTCTAAATAAGATAATAAATGCAGGCCAGAAACATAATTGTCATAATAAACCTTGTGATTTATGCTTCTTGGAATTGGTCTACATAATCGAAGTATAATATTGCTTGCAGCTCCCAGATTTCGTTCCACTGGTAGTAGATTTATGTTAGCCTTACTATTACAAAGCTCAAAATTCGAACTGAAGCCACTTACTCCCGATAAAACATACATTTTGTAACCCCATTTGTGTGTTTTTTTGGGATTGTGTCGTTAGGGAAGTTTTTCCCTTGAATGGGATAATTTGTTCGTCACAAGAGAGATGCTCCTCAAATGGAATTTTTTTGGCAGGATTCTTTTATTTGATTCAATACCGGTATAATTTTATCTGTACTTTTAGTTACATTGGTATTGTCTGCAAAATGTAAAAAACGTTTCAGCTCCTCAAATCTACTGAGAGGCATGATGTCGGCTATTTGTGGTCTTGTATTGACTGACCAATGCCCAAAAATTGTTCAATTTCTTTGGGGTCAGTTTTTAAAGGTCTATCGGGTCTTTTCTGTGTGCTATATAAGCATGTTTGTTCTACTACTGTGGATAGAAAATCATCTGGGATAAAAAATTTGAACAAATTATAAGGATCTTGCAACTGTAAAATGTCTTCGGGTAGTAAGAACTTTCCCGAAAATGGATTATCCTGAGGATTCCTTTCAGTTTTTGAAGGTTTCCAAGTTATGTTTTCATCATCCAAAAAGAAAAATCTTGTATTTGGGGGAAGTCCAAATAACTGTGTCAATGGTATGTCATCATTATCATCTGAAATGTTGTCTGGGTTATCAGCAATGTCAGCATCTTGCGATTCATCGTCGAATATGTTAGAGACCCCTACCTCCGCTGCAAAGAAAATATACTTTGGTACACTAAACACATTATTTATTATTTGTGTAACAAATTACATTCATCTTCATCATCTGATAATTCATCGTCTTCGCTATCAGAAGGTATTTCTCGAATAGCTTCAACTTCAATTCTCTTTCTCCGATAAAAAGAGCTGGCTTTTATTTCGGGAAAATCGATTGGAATATCCATTGTAGATCTACAAAACAAACAGAATATGTAGATAATTATAAATGATATCACGATAACTTCTTAGGCTTAATGTAGAAAAAAATTGTTTTTCGACGGCAAATATCTCAAACACCTTTGAACACACAGCGATATAATCTTGTACAAAGGGGTTTCTAAAGGTGCTAATACCTTTTTTTTTTAAATTGACCCCCTTTTTCCATCTCAAAATCGGACGCCTCTGACTACAGCCAAATATGGTTACGTCTAAAGATACACTTTATAGGTATATATTTACCACCAAAGTTTAAAAATATTCGGATATCAGGTGAGCGAGATATCAGGGTGCCTCCATGAAAAGTGGGACACATTGTATATTCAAAAATACATTTTTGCCTTACAACGCTGTACTTTACATCATCAGTTGCAATACTCTGTATTGAATATACATATTGTCTGTGATATAATTGAGGCAGCTACTATTAAGGATCTAGTAGTTGGACTGAATACTGGAATGGTTATTTTCTACTTGCATTTATAAATAATGGTAATAGAATAACCGCGTATGCTGCAAAAGTATCGATTAAAGCTTCAATATAAGCGGCTCCCTTACGGTTGGAAAAACTTTATTTCCACAACTAAATACTACCCACTTAATTGCACTCGTATGAGCCGAGACAATTACATCTCGACCCAGATGTAGAGGATTGTAAGTACGATTGTTACAGCGACATACACCAGCGCTACATATTACATCGAATACGTAGACGCGTCGTATGAAAGCGCAGTTTAATTTTCTACGGTTTATGAAAATATGCAACGCAATTATAACCGGATTGTGAAAATAGAAAAGATGGTTGCTTAGTAGTATGTGTATGTGCTTGTTGGAATTGAACGCTAGCCAAAGTATGGGTTTATCTGATCAAAATCAGAGAGGGTTAGTACTACAACTTGATACATAATTCTATTTTTTCAGTTTATATCGTTTAGTACCTACAAAAAAAATAGGTGTCTATATAATTTCTGAAGACCATCATCATTATTGCTAGAGTGTTATTACACTTACAGTGTACGATAATTCAATAAATAAAGATATCTAAATAAAACATTTAGATAAATTTGGAACGAATACAGTGAAGATGAATTTTTTGAGACAAAACGTTTGGATCTGGTTCGGGCTGAGGCAGTACAGTATTGGGGGTCATAAAGGCTTGCAAAAAATATAATAAAATTTATAGGGTCGTATTTAAAAAAAATGAAGTTGATGACGGTCCTGGAGAGACGAAACGTTACATATAAAAATTGATTATGCCATTCGATAGAGGGCAAAAAGTGGCCACGAGAAAGTGTTCTTTCTTTTTTCAATGTCACCTCAAATAAGGCTGAAATGAAACATTCCAAACATCCAAAATTTCGTTCTCTTTTCAAATTTTTCGAAAACTAATCATGTTAGCCTTGATTTTTTTGAGGCATAATGTTGGTCCTCTGATTACGCAACTTTGCTCCCATTTATGCTACATCGTACCTCTTACCGTTTCCGAAATCCCTGTAGTGAGAAGCGAATTTGTAACAGCCTGTATATATAAACAAAATCAATTTACGATTCGTCGATAAAGTAAGATAATTTCGCGAAAAAACATGGAATAATCTAGTAAGTTACTGATCGAATGCAGAATTATTACTTTATTTACTTATTTACAGATTTCTTGTCACATACAGGGTGTTTCTAAAATACGGTTCCAAACTTCTGCTGCGTTTATAACTCATTAAAATAAGCCAAAAAGTTCCTATTAACATGTGCCCTAAAACGCACCCTTAGGAAGTTATATGCCCTTAAAAGGGCTTTTTTTCTGTTATTGACAAAACGGTCGCAAATAAATAGAAAAAAATCTCTTTCATAACTTTTTACGTTAAATAACATGGGCTACTCCGTTTTGCGATATGCAAATCATATGCGCCCCATTTAGGTTGGTGAAGGGGGTCTTCGGCCCGTAATTTTTTTTATATAAATTTTTTACAATTTTCTCTACAGATTTATAAAATCTTAACAATTTTACGTAAAAAATATTATCTTTGTCCAAATCGATATTTCCAATGGTTTTCGAGTAAATTGAGTTTGAAAATTACTCTGCTCTTAAAGTTATTAGGCCAAAAATTACAAAAATCTATTTACCATGACAAATAAAAGACTGACGTTGCCACAACGCTTAACAATTTAAGTTATTGATAAACTGTCAATTGAGCTTTGCAGTGTTTAATTAGTAAAAGTGGTGAGTGGAAAATTTGGAAAAAATGGAGTCATATTCAAACACGGAAATGGCAGGTATGCACTTTATGTACGGCCGTGCGGCTGAAAATGCACCAGAAGCGAGGCGTCTGTATGCGGTAGCATACCCGAATAAAAGAGTTCCTTCTCGACAGGTATTTCAGAGGATCCATCAACGTTTAAGAGAAAACAGTTCGTTCCAACCAAGAGTAAATGATCGTGGCAGAGACAGATTTGTAAGAACACCGGTGATGGAAGAAAATGTATTGAGAGCTGTGCAGGACAATCCAAGGGTTAGTGTAAGAAGTGCCGCACGTATGCATAACATAAGTTTTTCCGTAGTTTGGCGAATTCTTTGCGAACAACTACTTCATCCTCTTCATATCCAGCGTGTTCAAGCTTTAAATCCGAATGACTACGAACCACGTCGGCAGTTATGCCAATGGTTTTTGCGAAAATCGAGACGGATTCCGAATTTTGCATCTCTTATTTTGTTTACGGATGAGGCAAGCTTCAGTAAAGATGGTTATGTCAATTTTCATAACGCTCATGAATGGGCTGATAAAAACCCACACAGCATATCAGACTCGGTTTTCCGTCAACGTTTGGACAGGCGATCGGCTAATCGGACCGCTTGTGTTGCCTAATCGATTGAATGGTGAGGATTACTACAATTTTTTAGTTAACGACTTGCCAGGACTTTTGGAAGATGTCCCTTTAATTGAACGCCAAAGCATATGGTTTATGCAGAACGGGGCGCCACCTCATTACCTACATAATGTAAGACAACACTTAAATGAGTTGTATGGAGGAAAATGGATAGGCCGAAGAGGTCCTGTTCCCTGGCCTCCACGTTCCCCTGACCATAACCCCCTGGACTATTTTTTGTGGGGTCAACTTAAGGCAAATGTTTATAAAATTCCAATTGAGACCATTCAGCAACTACGAAAGGAAATTGAACCCGCGTGCATGGAAATAAGGCAAACACCTAGAATTTTCCAAAGAGTTCGCAAATCATTGAAGCGTCGAGCTAGATTATGCATCGAAATGCAAGGTGGTCACTTCGAGCAGTTCTTGTAATTTAACTTATTATTGCTAATTTTAATCCCATTATTTTCTATTTCACATTTAGCTATTGTCTATAGTAGTAAATTAGTTCTTTAATTAGTAAGTGTAACTCTAAATTTAAATAGTCTTAGTTTATGTCCTAAATTATTTATTAAATGATCGGATCCTTCATAACTGCAATTTATTTGAAAAAAAACAGCTTTGTTTGAGCCCTTTTAGGGGCGCAAAACTTCCTAAGGGTGCGTTTTAGGGCACATGTTAATAGGAACTTTTTGGCTCATTTTAATGAGTTATAAACGCAGCAGAAGTTTGGAACCCTATTTTAGAAACACCCTGTGTATCTGTGAAACGTGATACGCGACCATTATTATTGGCATATTCATAAAATTTAATATAGATCGAAGAGCGTACATCGCTAAACTCCCTGAATACCAAATAACAGCTAGAGCTTTAAGAAAAGCTACTGTTCCCTATAGCGCTTTCAATAAGCTCGCAGCGGAAATATTGCCTCATTAAAACTGCGACAGTATTGTAAGTTCTAAAATTTGTTTCAGTTCTGCACCCACGCTGCAACATCCGACAAGTCGAAGTTTCCAACATTCGCCAGAACCAGACCTCCCGACACTCAAATATCGAAATCGGTAGCGTCTGTTTTAACTGCGTTCAATTGGACTCATGTAAGTACCAGGGGATGACAATAAATATATTTTACATTCGTAAATTTAAGAGAATACCTGCCTCGAGATTCCAGCAGGTCATAAAACAAGCAGGCTAATTAGGTTCACACTGAATTGTATTTCAGGAATATTTCTATTTAACTGTGTACCGAGAGGACGTTTTGAATTGACAGAGGTATATAAAAAAACTGTGTTTGTTTTAAAGGTAATTGAAACAAAATAAAAATACATACTGGTACATTCTTATACATTAAAATTCTTGAACCATCACGTCATATTCAGGAAAAGTACTTAACTGTTTTCTCGTGGAATTGAACGGAAAAAAGTTATAAGCGAAATACGTGAATTTACGTAAAAATTATCCAATTAACTACCCTGCAAACAATTTTCCCCCCATTTTTATGACTGTGGAAACTAATATGTTATTGTACATAATATTTAGCATCTACAGTGATAAATTCAGCTTGCAGAAACAAAAAGTCGCGAAATGGTCATTTTCCAGCTTATTTTCCTGACCTATGTAAATTGGTTCCCAGAAAGAGTATTCTAAGTACGGTCCATCTACTTGTAGTCCAACCAAATTACACTTGGAGAAAAAACATTGTTACCTGGACTTTTATAAGTGGAAATGGTAAAAGGGCTTATAATAAACCTAAAAAAAATAAATGCCTGAGCAGGGGCGACGCAGGGTAGATTTGGGGGGTTGAAAAGTTATGAAAAATTGTATCATTGGGATTTCTGGCGAAAGTTGACGTCAAACAAAAAAGTATCCAAATCTACAAGAGAGGTCACTTTTTAACATAACTTCAAAATTTCCGAGAAAAATGCGAAAAACAGTTTTTTTTCTGATTTTTCGTTTTTTATTTCTTATTTCCGCAAAAATAATTTAATTTTGACGAAACTTCGTGAAACCTCTTGGCAGTATTGCTATAAACATTCGAATTATAAATGCACAAATGATAAATTATCTCTGGATGATTTGAGATTTCAGCAATACAAAGTATTAACTGCAAAGACTACTGTTGACGCGAAATCCGAAAACTCGAAAATTTGCAAAATTGTTTTATTTTTTTTTCTGGCTTTATTTGAAAACGAATTTTAAATAAATTGCATATTTACGTTGCCACTTTTTTCACTCTATCCAATGGCGTCAACATTTTTGCAATCCGACGTTTCGTCTTCGACGGGCCATCATCAGATTAATTTTTTTAAATATATCGCTGCTATTTTTATGACAAAATCTAGTCTTTTTTAATTCTGTATTAAATGATATTACTATTGTAATCGCTTAAAAAGGTTTCTAGCTATCATTAAAAATTTTTCCTGAGTACGGCTCTGAACGCTTTCAAAATATCTGTATCTATTGGAGGAGAGAGAGAGAGGAGAGAATAAAAGAATACAGCACAAAATGTCCAACAATTTTTTTTAATCCATAATTTAAAAAGTTGTACCTAATAAAAAAATAATACGAATTTATGAAATATTTTATTATTTCTAATTAGTATTGCTAACAGTAAAAAATTGTTGGATATTTTATGATATGATATGTTATGATTTCATCCAATAGATATTTTGAAAGCATTCAGTTAAATTATAGCTAAAACAAGCTAAAAACTTTTTAAGCAATTACAATAGTAATATCGTCTAATTCAGAATTAAAAATTACTTTAGATCTTGTCATAAAAATAGCAGCGACTTATTTAAAAAAATTAACCCGATGATGGCCCCTCGAAGACGAAACGTCGTATTGCAAAGATGTTGACGCCATTTTATAGAGCGAAAAAAGGGCATTGTAAATATGTAATTTATTTTAAAATTCGTTTACAAATAAAGCCAGAAAAAATTAAACAATTTTGCAAAATTTCGGGTTTTTCCGGATATCTCCAGAACTACCCGGAATTTTAAAACTTTCTATACAGCATATTGTTAGGTATAAAAAAATACAACTTTTTTCTAATCTGAGCCACCGTTTCCTAGATCCTAATGCTATCCTATCCTTATCTTGGACACACTGTATATTTATGAATTCATCAAACTTAAAAAAAAATAAGTACACTAATCGATCCTACGGAAAAAAATTCACTATTCGACTTATGTTTATAGCAATACCGTACAAAAATATTTTTGGGTTAAACAATGAGACAGTTTTTTTTTGTATTTTTTCCGTACAATTGAATGGTGTAATCAGTTTCTGATTTTTTTTTAATTTAAACAAATTATCAACAATTACTGAAAAATTCATTGCTGCGAGTCATTTCTTAATTTTTTGTATTTTTGAGCATGTTTTTGAACTGTGATTACAAATTTTTTTATTTCACCAAAAAGTATGTCAAAACGAAAAAAAATATTACCGGCAGAACTCATTACGATGATTTTTTCAAGTAGAATTTTTGAAAAAAAAGTGTTTCAGGCCGAAAAAATGAATATCTCAGAAACCTCTTGATTTTTTTATCTAAAAAAATTTGACGTTATTTAAGACAGAGAAAGGTATACTTTCACCAAGTTTCGTCAAAATTAAATTATTTTTGCGGAAATGAGAAATAAAAAACGAAAAATCAGAAAAAAACTGTTTTTTGCATTTTTCTCGGAAATTTTCAGGTTATATTAAAAAATGACCTATACAAAAGTTGTAGACTTTTGCATGACCTACAACTTTTGTATTAGATACTTTTTTGTTTGACGTCTACTTTCGCCAGAAATCCCAATGATACAATTTTTCATAAGTTTTCAACCCCCCGTTCGTTTATTATAAGCCCCTTTACCATTTCCACTTATAAAAGTCCAGGTAACAATTTTCTTTTTTTTTTCCTTCAAAATGAGTTATTTTGATCGGTCTATTGGGCAATAAGCTTATTTGGTGTATAATCTTTTGAGAACTGAGTTTTTTGATGGGAGGGAACTAAACTCAGATTGACGCAGATAGTCATTCTCTTGAATCCATGAATCTGCTTTACCTATGTAAAATTATAGTTAAACCTCAATCATAACGTAGATGGGGAGGATTTTTAAAGCGGCGCAATGTTGAGAGCGATTGGGAGCGAAGCTTGTGACACGAATTTTATTTAGAATTTTTTTTTCAGGTGGTCCTTTTGTATCTAAATTCCCCTGATTTCGAGTTTGGGAATATAGCTAGTATAATACTATCTACATTGTCTTCAGCAGGGATAACAGTAATTACAGTAAAATACTGGGATACACCCTATCATCACGGATACTTTACCAACCCCTTCTACAAGCTAGTAGAGGAAACGTATCGTGATACAAGAAGTAAGTATATATTTTTCAAACCTGTTTCTAGTTTAGTGTCTCTTATTGATTGTGACTTTCTCTGCTTATCTCGTGTTTTTCCTAAAATGTATCTTTGGGTGTCAGTAACTACTATTTTGCTTTATCCAATTTGTTGAGTACCTTCCTTGCCAATTTCACAACGTTTCTATATTTTTTTTATTGAAAATAAAAAAATAATGAATCAACCCGACCTGTTGAACACGAGATTAATTTTATTAAAACCAATTATGTAACAAACATATTTTTTTAAGAGACCGACTTCTCCCGTTACAGATAATAAAATAAACTGGCTTTACTGTTCTCTGCTTTCACACAAGGACGTAAGGGATATAAATTTATATGATGATGTTGAAGGGACCCGACGTGTGAGAGTCGACTCGAGTTTTATTCCCTACGTCAACTTCTTCACAAACTGGGCAGATTATTACTTTTTATTTATTACATATCTCATTTGATATAAATCACATTGGTATTCGGTCTGTGGAACATTGCAATTAACGGTCTTCATAACTAGCGTTTTTTTTTTAGCGAAGACACAGTGTACACCGAGAAAACTAAATTGGATACAGGCAGCAAAAAGTTAGTTTCTTGTAATCAAACCATTTATTTGAAACAATGTCTGCTTATTCTAATCAAACGAATGATTATAAGGTATATTAGTTGACAATATTTTGTATTTCATTTAATTTGATTTGTTTTTTTCTCTTGAAATACCAAATGGGTATAACTTTAAATGGGGGTGATATTTATACAGGAGCTACCGTCCGTCGTGAGCATTGTTTTTTTTTAACCTTTTTTATCGTAATTTTGATACCCCGCCGCTAGATAGACTAGTGTAACCCTCAAACAAACGCACGCTATAATATGCATTGTAAATATAATTTGTCTCCATTCATATACATGTTTTTTCTTTCATAATATACAGAAATTTAATAATTAAAACACACCCTTAAACTAGTACTTCACATATACAGGGTGGCATAAAAGTATGGGAACCTCATAGTCAATTTTTAATAAATCATGCAAAAATATTAATTAAAAAAAAATTTTGAAAATGGTTTTAATATTCGGCGTTTTATCCGCATTGACATCAAAAAAATATTGGGACAGTCATACAAGACTGTTTTAACAAAACTATTTTCCATTGCAGTTACATTCCTTGCCACGCATACATACATACATTTAAGCTTGGGAAATGTCCAGTGGCGGCGTGGATAAGGGTTGAAGCGCGTTTAAAAAGCGAATTATAACTTGATTATTAGTTTCATTTAGAAAAAAAATATATAATTTTAGACGAGTATTCTGGGAAACACATAGGTACTATTAATACTGAAAAACTGCCTCCCACTTAAATTTACACCCTGTATTCATTAAACCTGTCGTTATCATTGATAATAAAAACCGCTAACATTAGACGCTATTTAGATGTATTCAAAATGCGGTTCCGAATGTACATAAATATTATTTTTAGTTAAATTTCTGCTAGCAGTTACAAAATCAACTGCTATTATGTAAAAACGAATTTAATTATTCTGATCGTGCAATGGTACTGAATATGAAACGGTTTCAGATTACAAATTAAATGAAAGAGAAGAGTAAATATGAATTAGTTACAGAAACGAGCATTAAGTTAAAACCTTGTTGTTCATTTTATAAATAAATAGAATTATGTTTAGCTAAAATCATTTTTGATATATGTATTAATTTAATATGAAACGTAAATTAAATATTTATTCAGATAAATTTATGTATCTGCTTTCCATATAATAAATACTTATTCCTATATCGAGTATATTTTATATGATGAGTGAAAAATAAAAGTAGCCATATTAAAAGTTGTTATACAAGGTGTTAATGAAATATGTACTCGAAATTGGAGAGTATGTAAAACATGTCGAAATATGATGAAACCTTAGTAGAGTTTTAGTTAGTGGCGGCCCCTAAGGGAGATACAGCCCCTTGAAGGGGTAACTCAGTTTTTATTTCATAACTTCAAAACGGTTTAATATTAAATCACGAGATTTTGGGGTTGTATTACTATTTATATGCTTAATAATCGGTATAATATACAAATCAAAAATTGTTACAGGGGCTTAAGAAAATGCGGGATCAAATTTTACAATTTTTTTTGTACACAATTGTTTCTACTTCCTGAACTGAAAATATGAAAATTTATCATATTTTACATAAAAAGGCACCCTTAGATTTTAATAGCATGAACCGTTTTCTAGTAAAATCCATTTCAAAAATTCCTACTGCAAAATAAATGTATCAAATTGTGCCATGAGAAAATTACTATTTTTATTTAATTTTCCTTTTGTACTGTTATTATCGTTATTGTAGTTGTTATGTAACTGTTACTAAATCAGGGTTTAATATCACATTTAAGTATATAGTTGTGTAGTAAACAGTAACAAATAATTTTGAATAATAAAATGTTACTATTATTATTTTTATTTGAAAATCAAAAAAAAAACATCCCAGTTTTTGCCTAACAGTTCGATGTGAGAGCAAAATACTTAATGCGAGTTTAGTCGAGTGTATCCTCCACAGATTTTTCACCGTACAAGCTAGTAAATTATACAGACTACACGAATAACCGCCCCATTATGCATTCTCGGAACGTAAAAAGTGAGTTCGTGGCGAAGCTCTATTTAAAATCCAGTTTGGGGCGGCTTTAAATTCATAAACTCGCGTATATTGCAGGAAGTTCGATACTAAATTTCTCTTAATTGTTGCAGTTTTCGTGATTTTGGGCCACTATTATGAACACTTGGGACTCATGGTGGCTATGGAAGAGAAGAAGCTCTTCGAAAAAGGTCAGTAATTACAGCCATAAAGTTTTATCTAGAATTTATGTGTACATTTTTGGTATTATTCGTTATAAAATAACCACTGGCTGCATAATTAATTAACAGGAATTGTCGCAACGGAGAATAAAAGTTTAGTAGAAAATTGTAAAGTTGGAAACAGTAAAAAGATGAAATGGAGAATAATTTCCTGTATGTACCTTTATAATTGTGCAGTCGTCCTACAAGTTAAAAAAAATAGGTATATGTGAAATTAATTTTATTTCATAGCTAAATACATTATACTCTAGTTTGTATACTTTTGACTTGTTAATAAGGCTCAGATACCATATTATATTTACCTTCTTCATTCTTTGTCAATTCATGTAACATCGTTCTTAAAACACTTATATTTCTGCATTTAGTGAAATTATTTATTTGTGACATAACAAATGCAACTAAATTATTTGGGAGACCCAAACTATCCTCTATAGGTAACAAGACGCCGCGCGGAAAATAGCATGCTTCGAAAACTTACGCCTCTCACTGTCAGTAGATATAGCTGCAGATGACGCGCTGCAAAAATGGAGAATTCCCTCAGTTTCGGATTTCGGAAAATAAAAATTTTTCCGAAAAATGCGCAATTGCAACTGAGGAATCACAATAGAAAATTCCACTAAAACGTCAGACTACAAGTTCATCACCCGTTTCATTCGACTATTATCCAAAAATGGACAAAATCCAGAGACCAATTGTCCGAACTAAGGCAGACTTAGTTACAGAACCTATACGGACTGATCAAGGCACGTGATCGAACGTCAACCTTGATGCCGCACAAAAGCTTTCCAAATAAATAGGTACTCATAGGAGGTTGACATAAGCTTCAAGAAGCTTTAAAATTTCCAAGTATTCACAAGAAACTTCAAAAATAGTGCTAGGCAAAGTCTAGAAGACAGTGATATGGATACAAGAATAATCATACTCGAAATGTCCATATTCAGTTGAAAGCCTCAAAAAACCGTGCAATCCCGAGCACGTGTACAAGAATGAAAAAAAGACAATATAAATTAGATTGTTGCCCACATTTCCAGGAACTTACCTCGCTTCCGATGGAGGGCAATCGGCCAGCGCGATGTCCACACCCCCAAGCGTCCGTTGAAACTGGCATGATGAGGAAGGCGGCCAAACATCCCGTTTGTCTCTTTGCCGGCGAGCAGTGGCCGAGAGTCCCAGCACCCCAGGCCATACACGAGTAGCTCGGTAAAAATGCCGGTTCTCCCCATATTAGCGGTAATTCCCGAGTGAATGATGGAATTAGACGACACGGCGCCCAACGTGGGGCTGGAATGTGCAAAACGTCGAGAGAATGTGGAATTAGACGACAATATTTAATTATAATTGTGACAGACTTTTGCAGAATGGAGGACCGCAACAATATAGTAATTTTTTATAAGGCATTTTTTCCGTGTGCCTTATTTTCTCAATATGTTTGCACACTTTTTTGATGTTCCTTTTTACCATAAGGTTTAATTTAATTTAATTTAATTAATTTAATGAAACAATAATTTCCAACAGTTTGTAGGGAATATATTTCCGGCATGCTCATAAAATGTAAAACTGTTCGAATTGTCGTGGCTGCTAATTCATAATTTTCATGAAATTATGCATGACGTATAACAAGATTAATGCGAATTTTACACGCGATCGCCGGTTACGAAACACAGTATAATTGATTTAGTTTAGAATGTAGCCCATGTTTTAGTTAACTCATGAAATTTTTTAATCAACATAAAACATAAACTCTGATGTTCATGTCATAAAGAATATTTAATTTATGAAAAGAGAAAATAGAGCGATATATAATTTACACCCTCGTATTCATGCATGGGACGAATTTTGTGGAAATTGGACTATTAAAAGTTTGTTTATGGTACAAAATTGTATATTGAGTTTGCTACTTAATATATTACGCTACAGTGTAGCACAGGATTGGCAAACTATGTTGGGGAAACTACTGCCAACTACAGCAACTCAGTTTTATGGTTGGTCGCAAATTAGTTTCTGCATAATCGCCAGGCACAGTTTTAAGGACACCCGATAATTACCTCAATTAACATCATTCTTCTCGGTTGATAGACATACAAATACGCCCGCAAAAGCTGAAAACTGAATTTTTTATCTGTTAATAAGCTTTTTACGATTTTTGCTGGACTTTTACGTGGCAAACCTTTCACTAATATGAATAAATGAGTAAAGGCCATCCCAGATACACTTCTATAACATACTCCCTGCTTGTCTATTTATTTGAGCTCATCCGGAGTTGTAAATTAAACAGCCATAGGCGTTTCTAAACCACGGATTCAGAATTTGCGGTTAGATAACTTTGAACGGCTAACATACATAATCCAATGTAAAACATTACTTAACGCAGGGTCATAGTTCACCCCGTATCCACCCGACCCCTTTCTATGCTAGTAAACATATTTAGGAACCCTTTCCGGTTGTAAAAAATCCGGGTTTATTACTGAAAATAGGGTTATAAAACGTATCTAAATGATGTCCACTCTTAGAAGTTTATGTGTGTTGAACTAATTGTTAGTCGAGAATTTATGTGTGTTTAAGTAGGATGGTCTTCGCTTGATGTCTCTAAAAACAGTTTTTTATGCGTAATGAAACTACCAGTATTAGTGACATACCGCGTAGGAAAGTACCGATGGTCTATCTGAAGTTACGTGAGAGCGATAAAGTAAGCCATAGAAATCCATGCAATAGAGAAGGATGGCTATAATGAAAGCGTCTCATAGTCACCGCCCGTTTCGCCCTTCCACAAATAAGATCCACTTCTTATTTGTGGAAGATTACTGTCCTCCCTCACCCTCCTTACTCGCCAGACTTAGTTCCTTGCGATCTTTTCTTATTTCCGAAATTAAAATCAATGCTGAAAGAACGGCGTTTTCAGACTATTGACGACAAGCAAATTAGTCACGGACTTTAAAGTCCATTTCAAATGAAGCTATCCAGGACTGCTTCTCGAAATGGAAATACCGCTGGGAAAAGTTTGTGAATGGTTTGGTTGTGAATGTATAAAATTAATAATAAAGTTTAAAAAAATAAAGTTCGGTCCTTGAAGAAAGTCTATATTTGCTTAATACACGAATTACTATTTTTAAAATTAATCTGTTAATAATTATCTGAATATTAATAGCTATACATTTATTGCAAATAATAAACATTATTGATCTTACTTTAGTCAGTTTAATTAGTTAGCCAACATTCAAGTATAATACATTTATGAAGGTCATTTTATATATTTCAAGATTTTATTGAAATTGTACGAGAAATTCATTGGGAAATATCGGACAGGGGTATACATAACTCTAATAAAACCAGCTGAAAATCGGCTTATTTGGACGAGGGTATCACAGTAATCTAAGCTGATTGGCTTTAGTCTATTCGACAGAGATTTGCACTAAGGATTCCTAGGGAGGGATTCCTTCCTCGTCAGACCTTGTCGAGGTTATCCTGGTGGGGCATAGGATTGACCTGGATGTCTGGATAATATTTGGATTGTGTTTTAAAACAATTGGCATAATTGGAATTTCCATAAATTTTATAATAATAAATAATAAATCACAAGAGGCTTAACGTGGTGTTCCGACATTATTTATCCTAGCGAAATGAACGAACAAGGGAAAGATACAGAAAAGTATCACTTATTTTTAGGCAAGATATGAAGGCCTTTTAAATAATTTATAGAAATGGTATTCTCAAAATATTAACTTTGAAAACAGTCATTAAAAGTTTTGACATATTAATTCTATTTCCTGAGACAAAAACCATTTTAGTTAATTGGTGTGAAAAAGACATTTCCGTTCATGAACAAAAAAGCCTTATACATGTAGCTGACTCTTTCGCTGAAAAATATGCTTCATTTTGCCTGCTTCCCTGTTATCATTGCATTTTGAATCCCACTGAACACATTTGAGGCATAATTAAGAATATTTCTAGAGACTACCGCGATGCTGAAGACTGAGTTGTACTGAAAAATCATTGACAATGTGGAAAGATGTTTTGGAAATGCAACATACAAAGTATGGTCTGCAACAATTCAGCATAATGAAGAAAAAATCCAGGTCTGGTGGAATAGACAAGCGGATTCGAGGATATTCTTCCTCTAGTTATAAATCTGGAAACAGATAATGTCAACAACAGCGACGGTGAATTAAACACTTGAAAATACTGTTATTTCCATAATTCAACGAAATACAAAACTAATGCATGTTCCAAATATGTTTTGTTTTGTATTCCCCGCAATTATTTTCTTGCGTTTGAATAAAAATGTTTACAGTTCGTACGATATATTTGTTGAGATAGAATTCCAAGAAGACCCCTGCGTTACTTTCTTGGAATTAACCGCATTCGACACCTGAGGCGTGTTTCCTCGGTTTCTTCCTAGGAATTCTATCTCAACAAATATTGTACGGATTGTATTATCTTTCCGATCTCAATTGAATACCGATAAGCTAGGAAGTATGTACCAGGTTCGGTCGCTACGCAGCAACTCGAAATATTTGAAAAACTTGTTCCCATATTTATTTAGCCATACCCATATACAGGTCTGGTCGAAATAAACGTGGAGGTGGTAGAAATAATATCCCAGTTGAAGAATGCGCGCGCGGGCAAACGGCGCACAAACACAGCCGCACTGGGCGACCGGCCATAAATTTCAGTTGATGACAAATTGCCTAGCAGTGCAAGGCAGTAATATATTTTAATGAAAATGTAAATGTTTTTGTTATCCCATAACCAAAATTTACCATCAATGTAAGCAAATGGATTGTAAACTTTGCTATGCTATGACTATTATCAAAATCTAATCAAAATTGCTGGTGCATATGACGTACAAAAACTAGTGGCTATAAGAAAAATGATTTGACTTACCCTGACCCCAGGGATGCAGGTAGGAAAAAAAGAACTTCTAGGGAAACACACACGTAGCCCAGAGTTCTCGTCTTACTAGTTTTTTTGGGATAAATATATTCTTCCGCCGGTCAGTGCCGTACTTGCCGCGGTAAATATACGTGTAATTACTACTAAAGCTAAATTAAGTTGATTACTAGATCTAAATTAAATTAACCAAAATAACAAAAGAAACAATTATATTCTACAGCCCATAACCCACAAATAAATAATTACAAAAGATTGAACAATCAATATAATAAAATTGTTTGAGGACATAAATAATTAAAATATGTTGTTTGCCAAATGAACATATAATAGAAATTTTCTACACGTTATATAGATACAAATTATTGTTTTTTACCTTTAGCAGAAAACTTTTTTAAGGACGCCTATGAAACTCATTAAATTTTATTGCTAGGCGTTTTTATACATGTTTAACTGACTTCGGGAAGACTATACCTTCGTTGATAAATATTGTTCATTAGAGGTTTGTGTATATATATGTTTCGAATTCTGTTTTTCTCACAACTTTTCATTTGTTTGGACAATATCCAACCGATTTACTTTACATAATTTCCTTCCCAGTACACCACTTTTTGAAATCATTATAAACTATTTCACGTAGCCTTGCAAATTTTTGAGGAATAAAAAAATATAGCACTTTTTGTGGCTTTCGACACTTCAAGTAACAAAGCAGATGTAACAAATATGGCGACCAAAAATATATCAAATGGCTGTTAATTAATATTTATCATAAATATCAAAATTTGTATTGTATCTTTTGTATTGTTAGCCGAGCTCAAAAAATAAAAGAAAGCAAGCGAAATTTGACAGTGGTGGATCAATTTTGTTCTTAGTATAAATTTGGTTTCGACACAAATTGATACCGGACTAAAATTTCCACAAAATTCTCTAAATAAGTTGGTACATACCATTTGGAAAGCAATATACGAGTCGTGTAATCATGAAATCTAAATTTGCTTTACATTATTTTTCTCTAACTCTAATTTTTCCTTTATTTACAGGTGAATATTTTGTAGTAGGCGTAGACATCGAACAATACGACAACGAAAATCCCACCAAGTACCTCCGCGGCCTACTACGTGACGATATCGATCCCGTCGCGGAGAAGGCTTACAGGAGTTACCTTGGGGTAGTCCCATCCAGTCCTGTCGGCTTTGAGAACTTCACCACGCTGGTCAACTCGTACATGGAAAGGCCGCCTTTTAACTTCCCTAATCCCCTTACTTATTTTGGGGGAGAAAAAAGGGTAAGCACAGACTCGACGGTGGCGAAGAAAATTATATTTGAAAGAATGATATATCCCAGGAATCTATAAACAGATTTGCATGAAATTGCTACAGTTACAAATGAAGACAGGTTTTTTAATTGGTGAAATTTTAGTAAAATCATTTAAGTCAGTGGTCAGTGGCGGTTAGCCGGGGTGCGGCGCCCCTTTTATATATATAAAAAAAAATTACCAATTGAAACAGAATAGAATAGACAAATTTTGTATTAAGGTATACAGGGCGTTGACTATAAGTTTTGCCAAACTTTAATGGCGTATTCTACGTATGAAAATAATGAACTTTTGCTCTGTACAAATTTTTGGCAGGACGCTTCCCTACGGAGATACAGGGTGTTTCAAATATGTATATGATTTTTCCTGTAACTTCACTGACAAAAAATATTTAGTGATAAAATTTGGGGATGACATTTTGTTAGTAGGGACTATTTTTTCATGGATAACTTATTCCAAAATACACTCCAATGGCGTAGTTATTGAGGGCGTAGGGGACCTTTTTTGAAAAAAAGTCGTGCGCCACTGGTTTTTTAAATAATTTTAAATGTTTTTAAATTGTACAATCAATTTGTGGCAATAAATTTATCATTTTCTATCGATTGCTAAATGTGTAACAATAAATTTAACACCCAATATTTTTGAGAGATTTCAAAACACTATACAACGCCACTGTTTTGTGTGTTGCAAAAAGTTTGTTATTTTTCATACAACTAAAACAGATTTTAATGAAAAAAAATTGTTATTGAATTATACAAATATTGAATTAGCAGATATACGTTTTACTTATGGTAGCGCAAATGGCAATGCTAGACAAGTTGAACGACTTTATAGGCAGACTTTTCCAAATCGACGTTGTCCAACAAGGAATACTTTTTCAAGCGTTCACCGTCGAGCTCGTGAAACTGCATGTGTATTGCTACCAAAACGTCGAGCAAGAGAAAGACCTGTTCGTACAGTTCATTTGGAAGACAGAATTTTGGAATCTGTAGATGAAGACCCATCTACCAGTAGCAGACAGATATCAACAGATTTGGGTCTATCACATGTAACAATCTAGAACGTCTTAAGGCGGGTATCCATTTGTGTTAAATGCCGCGTAACGTAACACCGAACATGTTACGTTACAGCTAGTGGAGATGGAAAATTGTTGCATGGTACGTGTAACAAATTTGACACGCGTAACTAATCCGGGACGATCTGTTGTCGGTTTTCAGTCGTCGCATCAAAGGGATGCAACAGTACTTTCTGCCACATGTTGAGACGGGGTTACCCTTTTGGCAACGTTGCCTGTTGCACTTGTGATTTTGTCTTATTTTTTGTTTCGTCAGTCTTTTGTATATGGTTTGGGGTCAGTCTGTTTTCTGCAGTGACTAGGAAGAGTATGTTTTTCTCTGTGTGCCATGAAGTGGAGTAAAGAAAAGATTTCCGGAGATTTCCGTTTCTTATTCTTGAAAATTGTATGATGAATAAAAATATATGACGCTGCTGCTAACTGCAATTGCAGTGACGAATCCATCATTGCAGTCAGGTTCATACTGCGAGTTTATGTTCCTGTGGCGTCTCTTAACCTTATTTTGTTACGTTACGGAATGAATGATATGTCCAAAACCACACACATACTTTCGCAGCGAACCGTGTCACCTTTTGCAACAGGCCGTTACATGTTCGTTGTTACATTACGGAGCATTTCCACAAGTGGATACCCGCCTTTACGTGAGCAGCAATTACGCCCATATCATGTCTAACGAGTATGAAAATGACCATCAACCGAGGATTAAATTTTGTCTGTGGTTTTTACAACAATGCGAACAGCCTAATTTTCAGTTATTAATATTGTTTACCGATGAAGCGAAATTTACCAGGGAAACCATTTCAAGTTGTTATCACAATAACCACCAATGGGCGGATGAAAATCCGCATATTATTTCCCAACGTCGATTCCAAGAAGTTGATTGTACATTTAAAATTATTTAAAAAACCAGTGGCGTACGATTTTTTTTTCAAAAAAGGTCCCCTACTCCCCCAATAACTACGCCACTGGAGTGTATTTTGGAATAAGTAATCCATGAAAAAATTGTTTCTACTAAAAAAATGTCATACCCCAAATTTTATCACTCATTCTTTTATGCTAGTGAAGTTATAGGAAAAATAATATAAATATTTGAAACTTTTAACACCCTGTATCTCTGTATGGAAGCGTCCTATCAAAAATTTTTATAGGGCAAAACTTAATTATTTTCATCGGTAGAAGTTAAAGTTTGTTAAAATTTATCATTAACACCCTGTATACAGAAAAAAACTTATTTATATAAAAATAGTCAAAACAAATTTAAAAGTCAACTTAACAATAAAAGTAATTGTTGGTTAAAAATGAGGTCATTAATTTATAAAAAATCTCTCCACGCCCTAATAAACGAATTTTCTTACTTAATTATAGAAATACTATTTTCCGACAATGAATCCATACCCGTAATATCAAAATTCACCCTGTACATTAAAATATAAATGATTCATTTCAAATTTAAATTATACCCATTTATTAAATTATTATTAAATAAAATACAGTTTTATTTTTGTTTAGTCGAAGAAATTATCCGATTTATCTTTTATTTTCCACTTACATGATTTCTCGTCAGTTTCCATCTCAATAAAATAAATTTTCGACATAACTTAATATCCAGAACTTGAACATAACTGATGCGTTTTATTCGATCAGCGTTTATTATTTAAAATTTACTGGCAATTTCACGTGAAACTCGAATTTTGCGATTCATAAAAATGTAAATTTAAATGGTACAATTTGGTGTACGTTGAGGGTACATTAGATTCGGTCTCAAGATTGAAGTATTTCTGAAGAGAAGAACATTACGTCGCTCTAATGCAATTTCACCTACATTTTTACGTTAAAAGGAATTTTCTTTCAAGAAACGGTAACCTTAATACTGTCTACACTGGTTGAAAGTAGTATTGAATGTTAGGGAGCTTTAGGGCTGACACATTTAGATATTTTCGTATTTTCAGAGAAAATTTACTGGCAAATTTGATACATATAAACTAAGTTTAAAAGTAAGGTACGTAGTGAAAACATTTTTTTTTTTTCTATTTAAGATCAGAGCAGAAGCGGCCTACCTGTACGATGCTGTCCACCTTTACGCTAAGGCCCTGATGAAGGTCATGGATAGAGGTGGAAATCCTAGAAATGGTACAGCTATCATTGATTCCATGAAGGAGACACATTATAAAAGCGCCATGGGGTGAGTAATTCACTATTCAAAAGTTTCCAAAGTCAAGATATTGCTTCAGTATTTTATAAAACGGTTAAAAAAAATAAAAAAAAAACAAGAATTACACATACAATTCTCAGCTGAATCATTTTGTTCGACTCGTTAAATATTTAGATACTATATTGTATTTTTACTTTGCTACCTGCGTTTATCTTTTATTCAATGTTATATAAAATCTTAGTACTTTTTCCACTGTTTAAAAAATATACAGGATGATTCATTAACAATGGGAAAGTCGGAAGCTGAAAATACTACACGTGAAATGGTGACGATTGGCGCAAACATGCCTTATCCGAAAGTTGGTAGTTTCGGAAATACAGGGTGTTGAAAGTTGAAATATTAAATCGTTTTTTTGCGATTATTCTGAAAATATGTAGGTTAAGAACTTGAAAATTTGTGAAACTATATTTTTTTAGGCGACGAATAAGATGCGTGTTGTAATTTCAGCATTGCTCGTAGAGGGCGCCACTTACGACCAATTTTACCGAAAATTTAGTTAATAACTTTTTACCCTGTATATCTAACATGAAACTTGATTCAAAACTTGAAAGAGCAATCATTTTTCCATTAATTGTGTATTCTTGTTCCACTTCGGTATCTCGATCCGTTTTCGAGAAAAATCGATTTAACGAACACTATGTTTTGATAATACCAGAAATTAAAAGCGAAAGAAACCAAGTATTTCTTCGTGTTATTACAACAATTAACAATTAAACAAATAAAATTCGTAATAATTATTTAAAATTAGTGTTCGAAGAATCCACGGTTGACATTTACACACTTTACACAACGTTTTCTGAGAGATCTTCGAGTTTGAAACTACATATTGGGATTGCGTTTGACTTCGTGGGTAGCGATTTGTATTCTTTGCCACAACTCTTCACACGAACCAATAGATTCTTCCAAATAGAAAAATGAAGAGGATTGAAGTCCGGACGTCTGGATGGCCAAGTAAATATGCTTCCACGGCTTGCAGAAGTTCCACTTTATTTAAGAAGAGACATGTGGTTCATGCACGACGGAGTTCCACCGCATTTTTATTGACCAGTGCGTGCATATTTAGATGCAGTTTTTTCAAATCGCTAGATTGGCCATGTAATCATTTTTGCTTGGCCATCCAGAAGTCCGGACTTCAATCCTTTTGATTTTTCTATTTGGCCTCGAATGAAAGACATAGTTTACAAAGAATCTATTGGCTCGTGTGAAGAGTTGTGGCAAAGAATACAAATCGCTGCCAACGAAGTCAGACGCAATCCCAATATGTTGTTTCAAACTCGAAGATCTCAGAAAACGTGCAAAGTGTATCAGTGTCAACAGTGGATTCTTGGAACAATTACTTCAAATCATAATTGAGTATTTTATTTGTTTTATTGTTAATTGTTGTATTAACACGAATAAACACTTGGTTTGTTTCGCTTTTAATTTCTCATATTATCAAAACATAATGTTCGTTAAATCGATTTTTCTCGAAAACGGATCGAGATACCGAAATGAAACAAGAGTACATAGTTAATGGAAAAATGATAGCTCTTTCAGGTTTTGAATCAAGTTTTATGTTAAATATACAGGGTAAAAAGTTATTAACTTTGGTAAAATTGGTCGTAAGTGGCGCCCTCTACGAGCAATGCTGAAATTACAACACGCATCTTATTCGTCGCCTAAAAAAATATAGTTTCACAAATTTTCAAGTTCCTAACCTACATATTTTCAGAATAATCGCAAAAAAAACGATTTAAAATTTTAACTTTCAACACCCTGTATTTCCGAAATTTTCAACTTTCGGATAAGGCATGTTTGCGCCAATCGTCACCATTTCACGTGTAGTATCTTCACCTTCCGACTTTCCCATTGTTAATGAATCACCCTGTATATTGGAATAATAAACAATAGGTCTGTTTTATACTATTTTTAATGGGAAATGGGCAACCAGGAATACAAGGCTATTGCGCTTTTAATACAAACGGTACTGTCACAGTCACAGTCAAACGTTGTGAACTATTTCAACATTACAGAGGGTTATAATTCAACAACTGCACTAATTATTGATCATTACACAGTTTCCGATGATTACATTGTAAGGCAGCCTCGCACTACAATTCGATAAATCGATCGAACCAAGATAACAATGCTATTTGCTGCGGCTATTAACAGAAATCCTGCCATCAAATGGAGAACAACACAATAAAATATAATAATAGCTAACAACGTATTTTCGTGCTTACAAAATTATGATATGACGTGATTTCCCTACCGAGAATTTCACTTGCAAAAGACTATTTACATATACGCACTAATATATGATCCGGCTCGAAGGACCAAATAACAGGCTCACTATTTCTTTAATGCGTTTGTTTTTGGTAGAGTAGATAAAAGACGGGATTAAAAGAAAAATAACAGTAAGTTTCACAGTTAAATTATTTTCTCGGTCGGCAATTCGTTCGACCTACTTTCGATTCTATCTAGTAGGTACTAGTTCTTCAGTTGACGACCTTATTTTGACCGTGCAGGACCATGGTTTTTTGGGTTGTTACGCTGTGGCCTATGTACCTGATCGGCGCCAGATAGATTTACACTGCTTCAATCTTTGACCCTCCGTTGTTGTTCTAGGGCTAGGCTCTGTAGAGGTGAGCCCTCTAAGGTCGCTACGGACGGAACTGCTTTTCAGTTCAATGGTGGTCTTGAACAGAGAGGGAACAAATCGATTATGGATTTCTATATTAAATGTATAATTTATTCAGCTTCATATAACTTATTGAATATTTAGAATTATTTCCATTATAAGCCTCTCTTAAAATTTATATTACTGACGGAATTTCCAATCAACATTTCAATTTCAGAAATTTTAACGTTTTCACGGAGATACATAATGATAAATAAATAACATAATTTCAGGTCTCAATTGCCTTCCAAACTTTCCAGTCGATTTTATTCAAATTAATTTATGCAAATGCCCGGGAAAACCGTATCTAATCAAGTTGCAAATACAAAAAAAACTGCACCCAATCCAATTAAAACTTCATATTGTTCATATTATTTCAATTTTCAGGGTAACTAGAAAGTTCTGCAGCTATATTTAGAGAAAAAAATTGTTAACTAATGTAAAATATTGTGCTATTTCATTATTGCGCAACAATTTATTTCTTTAATTTACTAAATTGATATACAGGTTGTCTCAGAAAACAGTGGTCATATAACAACCACAGATTCGTCAGGTAAAAGTAATTGAATTGAAGTCAACTTACCTCAGTTCAAAAATGCTTCGTTTAACAGCTATATGGTATTGAAATACTTTTGAATTGCATAAAACGCAAAATACCATCTTTATTAGAAACACCCAATCGATTTAAATGCACTTACCCAATTTTCTAAATATTCTGTGGTGTAAAAAGTCTGGATTTTTTAGTAACGATCTTAATCTCTTTAATATCTGCCATTTGACTACAATTTTGATAATTGCTTTTAATTATGTTAACAAATTTTAATTCAGATGGAACGCCATGTCTTTTTTATTTTATAAATATGTATATATCAATTATTCCATAAATTAGGCAAACCGTTTTAGAATTATGTATTTGGAAAATCTGTAGATCCTGGATAGAGGTAAGTTTAGATAAGTCTTCTTATTTAAACCACAAGAATCTGCAGTATATGTACACGGAATATTAGGACCTCCTGTATATACAGTAGGAGATAAAATCAGTTCAGTTTAGTTTAGTCACAGATATGGAACACAACAGATCAAAAAAGTCTACAAGTATAATTAAAAAAATAACAATAAATATCGATATATTAAAAACAAAATAGAAATAAAATTATATATAAATAAAAATAAAAATTTGAAATAGAAATAAATAAACAGGTAGTGCATGTTTCAACAGAAATTTAGTCAATGTTGCATTAAAAATGTCAATGTTAATGCCATGTTTGAATTGTCAGTGTTGCGAGAAACAATTGCTCCGCGAGCTACATGTCCCTACCGGCATTGAATTATACTCGCAACAGCTAGGATCGTTTGTCATCAGTTTAACCTACCAGGCACAGACCGGTTTCGGACTTATTAGTCTTCATCAGTGGGTCATAGGTGCGACAACCGACGTTGCGAGTATAATTCAATGCCGGTAGGGGCATATAGCTCTCGGAGTAGTTGTTTCTTGCAACACTGACAATTCAAACATTGTGTTACGCCCTCTGTGGATGGCAGTCGTGCAACAAAGTACCTGCAGTTAGCAGGTCGCTTCCTACTGTAGCCATTTGAATGTCCGCACGACAGATGGAGCCATTTGGGCTCCCGCGTACCATGTTAATGCAATATTTGTGATACTCAGTAAACATCCTGTAAAGGGGAAGAACGTTTATCATATTATTTACTAGCTTTGTATAGTTTAACCAAATCTCTATATTCTTTGATTCTCAAAACAAAAAAATAGCTTAAAATGACAATAATCATTTTCCATAAATTGGAGGAAGTAGGATTAGAAGAATAAGAAATTTGTTTTAAAAAATAAATATTTTATAAGCTTTTTCTGTGTGTTGTATACTATCTTTATAAATTATTGTCTTTCAAGGGAATATAGTGCAGTTAAAAAAATACACACCTATATTATTTTTTATGTTTACTTATCGGCAATGAAGACGGTATTTTAGTAAAGAAAAAAATATGAAATTACTTCAAATACATTCCCTTGTTATGAAATAAGCTCGATATGAAATGAAAATATGTAAATCATTCCCGAAATAGATATTTTCATGTCTAAAACCATGTACCAGCCTCATTTTTGTAAGGAATTTTATGAATGTGCGTGGACGGTCTTTTAACAAAAAGTTATATAAATTCTAAAGACGTTATTGTCATCAAGAATCCTTAACTTGTCCCAAAATATAAATAACCCAGTGATATATTAATCTATACAGGGTGACTTTGGGAGAATCGCGCCAAACCAGGAATAGATTCTACTCGTCAAAATAAAAAG